TGTCACTTTAAATTTTGAGGAGATCTGTGCACATGCGTAGTAGAATCCTCCATTGGTGGGGTTGGGGTGTCCATTCACTCAGGCATTCCCTCTAGTCACCAGAATGCAGACAGCGAGAGACCAATGAACAGATACCAAAAAAAGAATGTCCACATCTGTATCTCCGCGGTTCTGTCAGGCGTTCATGGCTATTCTGATCCTTCTCCCACTTACTCTCTACCATGATGGCGGCTCCAGGAGTAGCTGAGCATCTTAAATTAGAAAGCAATGGATTTCTTGATTCTGCTACAATTTCCCCTATCTGTACACTTTCCAATCTTCTAAATATTCCTTTATATGTGGTTCAGAGTTCTAGCACCATCCACTGAGCCTGCTTGGTCCTGTATTCTGTGTTGTTAGAGTAAGATAAAATATAGGAAAAAACTGAAAATCATAAAGACCAGGTATACTGGTCAAACAGAGACTGGTGAAATCTTGAGACTGTGGCCCTTGGTCAGCCTTCAGGTATGGAACTGAAAGAAACCATCCCTGTGACTCAATTTTCAACCAAGGAATAAATAAGTATATAAGGACAACAGGAGCCCTGGTATGGCGCTGTAGGATAAGCATTGGACCACAAGGCTGGTTTGAACTGCAAGGTCAGCAGTTCAAATTGACTAGCCACTCCTTGGAAACCCTGTAGAGGGCCACTATGGGTTGAAACCTACTGGATGGAACTAAACAACAGCATAGGGAAGACAACAACACCAGTGAGGTATACACACCATAAAATGGTCAACCATTTGAGATCAAAAGGGCTGCATTTACTTAGGGACAAAATTTAGAAGCATTGGTAAAAAAGAAGGAATGGAAGCAAGAAACGCAGGGAGGACGTGGAGTAAGTGATGTGACGTTGAGGTGTTTACAACCATTGAGTTGAAATGAAGTATATGGTTTATTGAATGTAAAACTGATGATCTCTGTAAACCTTTACTTAATTCACAATAAAACTTTAAAATAAAATACCACCTCCAAGTAATAAATGTTAGCTGCTGTACAAAGTTTTCTGTACATGAAGTCAGCATGTTTTACAGTGTAAAACAAAGACCTATAGTGAATCTCTTCACAACCTATACCATTCTCATTTCCAGGTCCTTCCATTCATACTGCCTGGTCAGCTTCTTTCCTTGGGGACAGCTTACCCATAATTATCCATTGCTCTTCCTTGTCTTAAGGAGCTCTGGTAGCGTAGTGGTTACGAATCGGGCTGCAAACCTTAAGGTCAGCGGTTTGAAACTACCAGCCGCTGCATGGGAGAAAGATGAGACTTTCTACTCCCGTAAGGATTTACACCCTCGGAAACCCTGTTACAGGGTCGCTATGGGTTAGAACCGACTCAATGGCACTTAACAACAACAACAACAACATTCCTTGTCTTAAGTTCTTGGTTTTTCTTATATTTTTGTTATTTAAGTTATCCTTTTATTATTACTATGTTTGTATGTTTGTTTTTATTATTAGTCAAGTTATCCATTGATTTTTTATTTTTAATCCATCTGCACAGAAATGGTATGCTGGAACCTTGACTGAGCTTATAGTTAATAAACAGATACTGACATGTCTATGAAAATAGAAACAGGCAATCTGTTAATGTTGCTGTTAGCTGTCATTGAGTTAGTTCCAACTCAAAGCCCATGTACAGCAGAAGGAACCACTGCCCGATCCTGCACCATCCTAACAATGCTGATGTTTGAGTCCATCTGTGAAACAATACACTTTTTCCCTAAACTCAACTCCAGAGGTATAAGGACAGTTGTGTCTCATAGCTTTTACACCCTCAGTGTGCCATGAGGAAAAGACCAAATAAATCAGGCCCATTTACATGAACAAAGGATCACATAGCAGCCACCTAGGAAAATTGTATGTGCTAGTGGATAAGCAGATTAGCAATAAAGATACCCTGAACCCATACTTAGATCATAGCTGAATTCCACTCTACTCCACTGGCCAGGAGCAAGAGTAAACCATAAAACTCATGGAAATCGCCTCTGTAAAATCAGCCAAACCAATGGCTCAGAAGTCAGTTCATAGAGTTCCAGGTCCTACTTTCTCCCTGCCTTCTGAAGGGAATAACTTTTCTCCCCATTTAACAACAAATCCTTTTTTCTTTTCAGCATCTGCAGAAAAAGCATTCAGACTAACATGAGTGAAACCCTGTGTTTCTCTACAGGTGGTGACTTTCGATGCCAGGGGAGTAAGTGGTCATATCAATCACATTGCTCTTCATGTGGCCGTGAGGTATGCTGCTCTGGGGGACAGAGGTGGGACAAGGTTTGTCCAGTTGCTTAGTGTGTAAAGTTTCTTAAGTACTATGCCCATGAACATACTATTGAATTATTAGAGCAGTTGTTGGCTGTGTCTCCTCTGGGAGAAATTTACTTCAAAACTTACTATTAGGAATGCTTATTTCCTAAACAGATAAACTTTTTAACTCCATTGAATACTACAAATGGGGTAACTGATATTATCTCCCTCTTTGTTTTGGCCACAGAAAACTTTTAGGGCCAACTTGACAGTCCCTTGTAACCCAGGTACAAGATTTTAAGGACATGGTACAGGACTCTGCAAGGAGCCATTGCAACGCAGCAGTTAAGTGCTCAGCTGCTAACCCAAAGCTTGGTGGATAGAACCCACTCAGTGAGTTTGTCAAAGAAAGATCTGACAATCTGTTTCCATAAAGATCACAGCCAAGAGAACCCTGTGTGGGAATTCTCCTTTGTCATACAGGCTTGCTGTGAGTTAGCAATGCACTTAATGGCACCCAGCAAGACAAGACTGCAGATGGAGATCCCTCTTGGCTTCCTCTGTTTCCTTTCCTTATTCTCACTGATTTTGTTACCCTCATTGTACATTTTGTACAGCGTCTCAAGTCTTTCTTCGGAGAAGAAGGACATACATACATGACATGTATGTATTTTCATTTGTTCTTCACACCCATTCTGTTTCACAGATGGTTAGCTGCAGTTTACCAGTAACAAGATTGAACTTCAAAAATACTGACTGATTTATTAGGGTCATACAAGCATATACCATGTTTCCTGTCTTCAAGAGAATGCTTCTCCTAGGCCTGAGAAAGGAAAGGGGCAACGTGAGTGAAGGACTTAATCTTGTAATCATCTATATGTTCCCAGCATTTTCACACTGGTACAGTGACGTATGTGAAGTTGGACCTCAGCTATCATTAAGTCCAACCACTTCATTTTGCTGAGGCAGAGAAGTGGTTTGCTCAAATTTACAAGGTTATCCAAAGGCAGAAGCAGGCTTAGAATCCAGGATGCCTGGATCTCTGCTCAGCGCTCTGTCTGCTGCAATGTGATAGCCAATTCAGCGTGAGTGCTCTCCAGTCTTGTCCCTAATCTGTATGTCACTTCCTGAAAGATGGTGACGATCACTCCCTACAGATTTTTCCCAGAGAGATCTTCCTATTTCCTAGACTGGAATGAGGGGAGATAAAAATGTTTTCCCTAATAAATCCTAAAAAAACCTGTAACTTCCTGTCTCCATCAGAGGGTCCCACTGTAGAGATACGTAGTGCTAGTTGTGTTAGGCCCCTTCAAATTCAGGAAAGACATATATCCCAGTTGAGGTCAGTGATGAAGTTTTTTATGAAGAGCAAGGAAAAATGAGATAGTCTAAGAGCAGTTTTTCTGCCATGGTTACTCAGAGTTTAGGCTGCCAAGACCAGAGTGGACAGCAGGCCGCATAGAGACCAGGAACAATGGTTCAACCTCATACCAGGTGCACACTGAGCCTTTCATTTTCACCCACTTTACACCGCACCAGAGAAAGGGTCATATTGGATGAGGATGCAGAGAAACCTCAGTGGGTGGGAGTGCAGGCTAACTGAGATCACTTTGCTGGGTCTGATCACTGATCCACTCACCACCCAAGTGCCCTCATTTCATTCCAAGCAGAGAACCCAAGTAGACAACTTCATGCAGACAGGATTGCTGGAGCCATTTGCCTCAGAAAACACTGTGACTCCAAAGGTTTTCAGTGTTTCTGGAACTTCTCCATACACTAAACTAGAGTCACTGTACTTGAGAGGAAACAATATATTCATATGGCCAAGATCTCTTCAACTTACCATCCATACTACTTTGAAAATGTCCTTACAGCCCTTCCCTGACCCTCTACCCCCACCTATACTCCCAGGGGAGTTCACTGTGCCAATTTCCCTAGAAGCATCTCACTCCTTCCCCCCCAAAAAGTCCTCCTATACCAGTATCCAAGTCCTGTGTGGGTTGTGGGATAATACACTGGACTGCAAGGTTGGTTTGAACCACAAGGTCAGTGGTTCAAGCTCACCAGCTCTGCTCCTTGGAAACCCTGTTCAGGGTCACTATGAGTTGGAACCGACTTGATGGCACTTGGAACAACAACAACAGACCAGTTTAACGCTAGGTAAAGTGGAAAGTCAGCAAAAAAGAGGAAGACCCCCAACGAGAATGGATTGGCACAATGGCAGCAGTAATGGACTCAAGCTAAAGTATTGTGAGAATGGCACAGAACCAGGCAGTGTTTGGTTCTGTTGTAAATAAGGTCACTGAGTTGAAACCAACTCGACAGCACCTAACAACAATGAGCCAGTATTTTATATAATATCCCATTAAAGCCTTCTGAGCTTATCCCTGCCTCTTTGTAGCTCCCTAACTACTATGTATATTTTCCTGAAACATGGTTTAGATTTTATGGTTCTTCCCAGTTAGTTCCCTGCTTACTAGGATCATAGTTGTGTTGAGACCTGCTTTTCTATTCTTAGCCTTTCATCCTCCATCCACTCATGTCTGACCCCATCTTCTCTCCTTCTCTAACTGGGATTCTTCTTTCTCCCATCTCTCTGTGGCTCTTCTAGTTTGCTCAGCCTAAGCATTTGTCCTTTCTGTATCTGAATTAGAGTCTCCTTCCAGCTCACTCTGCAAAAGTGAGACTCCTCCCCATCATTCTCAGAGTGGCTGACAGCTTTACCTAGACGCTGAAGTCCATTTGTGATCCTGAGTTAGAAGCAAGTGTGACTTGGAAACTATTTGACCTCTTAGAGTTTTAGTTTTGTCATGTGAGAATATTCACAGCTAACCTGTCAGATTGTGTTGAGGAAAAAAGATAAGATGGTCGTGGTGTGGCACTGTGAGATAAGCACTGGACTGAAGATCAGTTTGAATCGCAAGGTCGGTGGTTTAAATTCACCAGCCACTCCTTGGAAACCCTATAAGGGTCACTATGAGTTGGAACTGACTCAAAGGCACTTAACAACAACAACAAGCAGTAAACAGGACTCCTGGTGTGCTGTAGGATCAGCACTGGACTGCAAACCACAACGTCTGCGGTTGAAACCCACCAGCTGCTCCTCAGAAACACTATACAGGGTTTAGAACCAACTCAGTGACACTTAACAACAAGAAGCAGTAAACGGAGTCCCAGTGTGGCACTGTAGAATAAGTACTAGACTCCTAAACCCACCACTCACTCCTCAGAAACCTTTTATAGCGTTGCTATCAGTTGGAACCAACTGCACGGCACTTAACAACAACAATGAACAGTAAACAGTGTGTCTTCTTCCATTCCTTTTTACATGCTCACTGGCCCTCTCTTTTGTACTCTTTTACATGATTGCTTGGGCTTTACACGGAAGTTCCCAGGAGTATTTCTGTCAAGAAAACAAAAGCAAAGCAGATTCAGAACCAGGGAAAACAATTGCCAACAATGCAACCACTCCACAAATTACAGGAACATGCCCTGGAAGAGGCAGCCCAAAGACTACTGTATCATTTCCACTGTTCCACAGCTCAAGGCCAACCTGGTGTTCCAGTCGCTCTAGGAGCTCATCTCAATAACAGAGTGGAGCCTCTATCCAACTGCAATCTCAGTGGGACCCAACAGCCAGCAGAAATGCGAAGGGGACAATGCTTGTCTCATGAGCCACTCCTTTCCCCCTTCTTGAGCCTGAGCTCCATTTGTGAGCTCCATGAGCTCATTCTATCACCAGACCCTCCGCAGTCTGAGCCACCTTCAGACTGCAGGGAATGCCTTTATGGTGATGACATGGCCTCTTCTCTGTAGATTATTGCCAATCCTCCTTAAGGACTTTCATCCTCTCAACACACACAGCAGATGGTGGTGTTCCCTCCATTCCTTCCTGTGCACAGCCCTTCTCCCTTCCTTCTGGGCCTGCCTTCTGCTGCCACACTCTATGGAAACTGCTCTCTCTGCCAAATGACCATAGACTCTCTGGTAGCTAGGTTTGCTTAGGTCCTCAGGAGTCTTGACCGTTCTGTAGTGTTTGACCCTGCCTGTCCCTTATTGATGGTACTTTCACTTCCCTAACATCCACTTGCCCACCTTCTCCTGCTCTCTCTGGCTCCTCTTGGATTTCCTCCAGTGAAGGTCCTTTCATGCTTAGCTTCCCAGAGATTCCCTCCCAAGCCTGGGCTCTCAGGACAGATTATTCTATGCCTTTACATTCTGCCAATTTCAGTTGTATGTATCCATTGCTCACCGCTCTGCTTACCTTAGGCCTTGCATTCCCAATGCTTTACTCAGATGCCTAGACCCCCTCAAACTCAGAATTTTCCAGGGCTCTACTTGGAGAGGGGGGCAAGTTGCCTCTGATCTCAGTATATCTGAAAGGCTGAGAACATTTTTTGTTTGTTTGTTTCTCAGGACTCTGTCAGGCAGTCAGGCCCTTAAATTTATCAGTTTTCTCTCAACTTCTGTAAGAACCAAACTGATTTTACCTGATTTTGCCTACCTAGAGACTGCTTGACTAAACTCTAGTCAGGCTCAGGAAAGCATTTTAAATAGACAAGGCCTCAGTTTTTAGTTCCCTCCAGAGACAAGGTCAATCTCCATTCTGTACATTAGCCTGAACACGTCCTCTAGCTCCAAGAAAATGATATATGTATAAATAGCCAGGCAGCTCAAGGCCAGAGGCCAGATGTTTTCCTTTACCCTAGCCTAAAAACAAAGACCATCAGTCCTGACCAATTAAACTGTAACATCTTATAGTTTGCCAATTGTTAACCAATCCAAAGATTGTAAAGCTGAGAAACCTGAGCTGTTTGAAAACTCTATAAAAACCCTGCAGACAATGAATTCAGGGCTCTTTCCCTATTCCGATGCATCGGATAAGGTTAGAGACCTGGCTGGAGCTTGATTAAACTTCCCTTATGTATTTGCATCTGGTACACAGCTCTTGGGTGGTCTTTGGGGACCCTGAATTCTGGGCATAACACTTCTTCCATTTATCCTCTGCTACCAAGAAGCTCTTTGCCATTAGTATATGTGGTATGGGCGGGGAGCAGGGAATAGTGCTGTACCATCCTTCTTTACCCGCTGCTTCCCAATTACAAAGTCTGGAAGAAACTGAGATCACTGCTGTGGGACCTGCCTCATCCCCACCTCCCACCCACCCCATTAAGGCAGTGATCCCAGAATGACATTACCTGTCACCAGAGGTAAGAGTGGAAGAATCAAAAAGGAGAAAGAAAGTATCAGGGGAAAAATGTCAATGAACATTAAAAATAAAAACAACAGAAAAAAACATTCCCCCCCCCCACTCCCATTATAATTTCAAGAGACAAATTTGGAAGAGTTCAGCATAGTTACCTTCATCTCTAATGGTCAAAAAGCTTTGGCTAAGCACTCCCTAAACTATTAGGCAGCCCCTGGATTGGCTGTCCTCCAGCAGGATGCCCACACTGGACCCTTCAGCTGTAGCCAGAGGTCCATGTGGTGATTTATGCAAAAGAAACTAACTGGAAACCTACTGGGAAGGGACCCCCCCCCCACACACACACACACACACACATATTGTTCTGTAAGGCTCCTTTGTTAACCACAAAGGAATAGCTGACTCTTTCTATCTTCTTCCTTCCATCAGGACCCTGCACTCAGAGGGGAGATTGCCTAAAGGTAAGGCTTATCCCTTTTACAAAAGGTTGGTAATTACTGTCCCTCTAAGAAACTCAGAGTGAAATTTGCAAATACACTGAGAGTTGCCCCAGGCCAGCTGAAAGGAGTGTAGGGACAGCTCAGCCACAGAGAAAAACCGAGGCTCAGAGAAATTAAAGGGATTTTCCCAAGTTTATCAGTTCTTTAAGGAGCTCTGGTAGCGTAGTGGTTATGAATTGGGCTGCAAACTACAAGGTCAGCAGTTCGAAACTACCAGCTGTTCCACGGGAGAAAGATGAGGCTTTCTGCTCTCGTAAAGATTTGTTGTTAGGTGCCATAGAGTTGGTACCGACTCATAGCACCCCTATATAGAACAAAACACTGCCCTATCCTGGGCCAACCTCACTATCATTGCCATACTTGAGCCCATTGGTGCTGCCACTTGGCCAATCCATCTCACTGAGGGTCTTCCTCTTTTTCTCTGACCCTCCACCCTACCAAACTTGATATCCTTCTCCAGTGACTGGTCTCTCCTGGCAATAAGTGCAAAGTATAAGAGACGAAGTTTGGCCATCCTGGCCTCCAAGGAGCACTCTGGCTACACTTCTTCCAACACAGATATGTTTGTTCTTTTGACAGCCCAGGGCACTTTCAGTATTCTCCTCCAATACCATACATAACTCAAAAGCATCAATTTTTCTACAGTCTTCCTTATTCACTGTCCAGCTTTCACATGCATGTGAGGTTATTGAAAATACCATGGCTTGGGTCAGGCGCACCTTAGTCTTCAAGCTGACATCTTTGCTCTTAAACACTTTAAAAAGGTCTTGTGTAGCAGATTTGCCTAATTCAATATGTAATTTGATTTCTTTACTGTTGCTTCCATGAGTGTTGATTGTTGATCCAAGAAGAATGAAGTCCTTGACAACTTCAGTCTTTTCTCTGCTGATAAGGATATTTTTTACTGGTCCAATGGTGAGGAGTTTTGTTTTCTTTACCTTGAGATGCAATCCATAGCGAAACCCTGTACAGGGTCACTGTGAGTCGGAACCGACTCCACGACACATAACCACCACCACCACCAGTTCAGTTCTTTGGACTCTTGTGTGGCGCTGTAGGATCAGCACTGGACTACAAACCACAAGGTCCACAGTTCAAATCCACCAGCTACTCCTCAGAAACCCTATACAGAGTCACTATGAGTCAGAGTCAACTTGATGGCATTTAACAACAACAACAACAACAATCTGTTCTTTAGTGGCAGAGCTGGGACCAGGTCTCTTGCCTGGCAGTACAGAAATTCATGTCTCCATTACCTTGATGAAGTAGCAGATCCTAACCTTTAGAAGCCAACCTCATGCTGAGGGATATAAAAGGGTTAAAGAGTAGCTAGCCAGGTCTTCAATGATCCCTTCTACCTGCTAGAATGATGGGCAAAGAGCAACTTTGGCTCTATGGAGTCATTTGGCAACTCCACAGCCACTTCTTTGAACCACAAGGGCAGGGTAGATACTCAGGGGCAAATGTGCCAGAAAGCAACTAGACTCTTCTACCCTTGCCCCAACAGGGTGTTCTGTGCTCCTGCTTAAGACCGTGAATGTGGTACGCAAGTACATCTCCCTTCTGGATCTGCCCTTTTCTTGGCTTCAGCCTCAGAATGTCCTCTTCGTGCTCACCAGCAAAGAGGTGGCACAGGCTAAGGTAAGGAATGCAAATTTCTGCACACCCAACTCTAGATCTGTTCCCCAGATTATCTCGTTTCTCAAACCCCACCTCTGAAGAGGCCCTACTGAGGACAGCTGTGCTTGTCCCTGAGTTTTAGAACTATATCATATATATTTACTTATATATTTTAAGTGATTTTTCCCTTTTTTTCTAATTATAAAAATAATACACATTAATGCTAGGACATATATAATTTTGCAACAGAAACAATCACCAAAATATATATATGTGGTTATGTTTGCACATATAATGAGAGTGCTTCACAAAGTTAATGGAAAAATAGAATTAAAAGATAAAATTTCCTGTTGACATTTTGAAGCCCCCTCTGGTAGAATAAGCACTGGATGGCTAAGCACAAGGTTGGCAGTTCAAACTCACCACTTGCTCCTTGGAAACCCTATACAGGGTTGCTATGAAAACTTAACAACAACAACATATATATGTGTGTGTGCATGCATACATGTATGTTCATGTATATAATAAAGCACATAGGAACCACAGTTACAGACAATTCTTAGATCTAATCCAACACTTCATGGGATTAGATATCTGGGTTTGAAGCCTTAGGACCATATCTTGTGGGACAACTGGGTCAATTGGCATAATATAGTTCATAAAGCGTTTGTTCTACATTCTAATTTGTTGAGTAGTGTCTAGAGTCTTAAAACCTTGTGGCCATCTAAGACACAACTATCAGTCTCTTCCCAATTGGAGTAAAAAAGAAAGAAGGAAACCAAACACTATGGGAAGAAACTAGTCTATAGGACTAACAGACCAGAAAAAATAGATGGCGGCCAGCAACCATTAACATTCATTCTGATCAGGAACACAATAGATGGATCCTAACAGAAAGGGAGAAAAATGTAGAACAGAACTCAGATTTTTACAAAGAATTAGTGGACTAGTTGAAACTATAGGAGTCCTGAGACTATCGACCTGAGATACCCCATAAGGTCACCTTTGGCCAAATAACAAATTTGCTAATAAAATAATATTACCAGTGAATACTACACACCTTTAAAAAACCATCTATAAAAGACTAAATGATCAACAATTAACTCTAAAGCAAAGATGAAAGGTTAAGGAAACAGGGAAAACAACTTACTGGAAACAGAACATCCTGAATGGAATTAATGAGAATGTTGATACATTGTGGAAAAGTTAACCAATGTCACTGAATAATTTATGTAGTAATTGTTAAATGAAAAGGTAATTTTCTGTATACGTTTGTACTGAAAACATAATAAATGTTATTCAAAAAATACTGACAATAATGAGGTAAAGTAAAAGGTATAAAATGAACTGAGTAGGGATAAAGACAGAGTAAAAGTCAGGATATATATTGATTTTAAACAACAAATACTCAGAAGTATAAAGTATTGGATTACTGATATGTTCAACAAATGGAAAATACATTTCAAAAGCATTATATGTGAAAGACAGACACAAAAGAGATATACGGTATGACTCCATTTATGTAACATTCTAGAAAAGGAAAATCTTACCTAACACAACAGAAAATTATTCAGTGCTTGTCTGGAGCTGGAGGTGTTGACTCTAAAGAGGCACAAGAAAATATATGAGGTGACAGAATTTTTTTTTTTTTAATCTAGGTGGTGGTTACTTATTTGTGTATACATTTACAAGAACTCATTGAAATGTATCCTTACAATGGGTGCATTTTATTATATATAAATTATTATCTCAGTTGATGCATATCTTTGTATATTTTCAATAACAACAAAAAATAATATTGACAAATTATAATAATACATGCTAAGAAAGGTAAATATACATGCTCATTATAGAAAATCTGAAATTAGAGTATCCAAAAGAAAATAAAAATGATCTGCAATCCCATCACTCAGAAGTAATTGTTAACATGTTAGGCAATTTCCTTCTACTGTTTTTATGTTTATATATATACATTCATAACATATGTATTTTGTTGTTGTTGTTGTTAAGTGCCGTCGAGTCGGTTCCGACCCATAGCGTATAGATATATTTTAATGGAATTACACAGTCCTTACTATTCACCAGCTGCTGTAACAATATATAATAATATATAATAAAAAATTAAAAAAACTATTTTCTCCTGTGTCGTTAAGAATTCTGCAGAGAGAATTGTAGTGATTGCCTGTTACTCATTATATGAGGTGTTGTATAATTGAACCATAAAATATGTAATGAGTGCTAGTGCCAAGCCGTGGGCATCTTCCAGAACATCACGTGCCACAAGACCAGGAGCAAGAGAAAGCCCAACCACAGAAGCGGAAGTGTGAACTGGGACACCCATGGCCAACACTCCTGCCGCATAAACACAGTTCACATGAGAGGAGGCAGCAAGAAGTTCCAGACCCTCAGGCTGGACATGGGGAACTTCTCCTGAGCTCTGAGTGTTGTACTCACAAAACAAGGATCATCAGTGTTGTCTGTAGTACATCCAATAATGAACTGGTCCTCACCCAGACCAAGGTGGAGAACTGCAGTGTGCCCATTGTACCAGCAGTAGTATGAGTTACACTGTGCAGTGTCCCTGGGCCACCAGAAGGGAGACAAACTGACTCCTAAAGAGGAAGAGATGTTAAAGGAAAAGCAATGGGGAAAAATTCAGAAAAAGCAATGGAAAATATTCAGATGAAAGGAAAAAGAATGCAAAAACTGACAGTCTCCTGGAGAAGCAGTTAGACAGAGCCAGCTTCTTGTGTGCATCGCTTCAGGACCAGGCCAGTGTGGCTGAGAAGATGGCTGTGTGCTAGAGGGCAAGGAGCTGGAGTCAGTATGAAAATATGAAGACCAGAAAGGCAAATTAGTCCTCCAGCACTTGTATTAAAGGTGTTTATTCTAAAATATATGTGCATGTGTGTGTAATGAAGTCCTCATTAATGGACATTTTTATTTACCAATTTTCACTGTTCCACACAGAGTAGATTTCCCAGCTTCAGTCTAAGAGGAATTCAGAACTTCGAGAGGTTTCTCTATGTAGAGTAGGCTGACCACTAGAAACCTACCTGCCTGCCAAGAAAGCACTAGACCTAAGGAACGCTCTTAGCAGTCAGTGGGTACCATTAGAGGTGGGGAAGCGATGGGTCAAGCGAATCACTCCAGTTTGTCTTCCGAAGTGTTGTTTTTGTTGTCCAACTCATGGTGACCCTCTGTGTGCAGAGTGGAACTACTATGTAGGGTTTTGGAAACAGCCACTCTGATGCACCTCCGGGTGGGCTCAAACCAACAACCTTTAGGCTTTTATTGTGAATTGATTGACATGGGAGAACATCGATTTTGTACTCATCCTATCATGTTTCATTTCTTAGCAATGATTACAATCCCCTGATGCATCATCATTCAGCAGTATTTGCTTCTATTCCGTCTGGTTGGTTGTTTGGTTGGTTGGTTTTGATATACACAGAAACACTCAAGGATATATAATCATTTAAACTACCCAAGGACACATTCTACAGGCCTGCCTCCTGGCTGCCAGCACATACCCTTTCTCTTTGCATGAGTCTAGAATCCTCAGCTGCTCTGTCTCTTCCATAATTCATTCATTTCTGTTCTTATATTTCAGCCCTTATATTTATTTATAGTACTTTGTTCTTATTTTAATTTCCATAAAGCTTTTGTTTTCATTTTCAGACCTAAAAACAAATAGTTTCCTATAATTAATTTTCTTCAAAGCACACTTATTTTCCTTTTATAGCACCTCACAAGTTTTGATACGTAGTTCTACTGTTGTTCAGTTATATATATTTTATAGTTTGCATAGTAACTTCCTCTTTAATCCACAAGATTTTTAGGGTACATTTTAGAGTATATGTGTATGTATGTAAAATCTTTTTATTGTTGATTTCTAATTGTTTCATAGTCAGTAAATATGGTTCTGTAATACTGATTTTTTAAAATTTTCTTGGAATTTCCTTAGTGGCCAGTTCATAATCAAATTTTTTATTTTTTAAAATTCTGGAATATAAATAAAGAGCTTTATTTCTGAGTTTGGCATCCCATCTGCCCAAGGAACATTTCAATTTATTGATGAAAGAATAAAAAGGGAAACATAGAAACATTCCATCTTTTATGTACAAAATAAGACTATGCATGAGGCACAATTGGTAAATCAGATGATCATCCAGAAAGTGGAGCTACCGGATGTTTTGTGTCCCTAAGAGTGGTCTTCTAGAGTAGACAGTTCCCCTACACTGACCCCCTTTTAGCAGAAAAGATGAGGGTAATGAGGGAAAAGAAAGAAAGACAGAGGAGCGGGAGCTAGTGACATAACACATAGGGTATGACAGAGAAGAGGAGAATGTGACACAGGAGAGGAGGATGTGGACAGGGAGAGGGCATGTAACACAGGAGAGGGGGTTTGACACAGGAGGTAGGGTGACACCAGAGAGAGACCAATGCTGGAGTGAGCTCAGCCTGGAATCCATGGCATTCCCAGCATCTAACACAAATGGCGTCTCTGTTCCAGGTGTTTTATCATTTAAGTTCCTCACTTTCCTGCCCATTGGGCCAGAGGCTTCCACATAGAGGTTGGCCTGAAAAAGGAATGAAATACAATGTGAAGCCAAGGCACTCAGTCTACTCAGAACAATCCACAGCTTTAGATTCATAATCAATTTTTGTAAATGTTAACATGTGCCTTAAAAAAATGTGTATTTTCATTATGTTGTGTTCAGGAGTCTAGATATAACATGTAGGTAAAGCTAAGTACTTATGTAGGTCAAAATTTGAGTATTCTTACTAATCTTTTGATTTGTATCTCTTTTCTGATACAAGTGTATTAAAATGGATCTGGATTTGCCCATTTATCAATTTTTAGTTTATATGTTTTTGTTGTTAAGTGTGATCAAGTTGGTTCTAACTCATAGCAACCCTGTATTGGGTTTCCAAAGAGTAGCTGGTGAGTTTGAACAACCAACCTTGTGGTTCAAACCAACTTTGTGGTCCAGTGCTTATCCTACAGTGACAT